TAAGGATGTTGTGACTGAAGAAATGATCATACATTTGAGTAAAACCAAAAGTAGAGAGCTCCATGGGAGACGTTAGTCTAGAGAAAGAAATTACGATGCGACTAATTGCGGGTATCTTGAAAAAGTTTCGAACAACATTTAGTATAGACGTAAATATGTTTACTATTGATATTTTGACATTCATATCTGTTTTAGTGCATTTGCAAATTTGTTGCTTTTATTTTTCTTCTTTTTGTTACTTGCTAAGTGTATATGCAACTTGTAAATTGCTCTGCTTAAATAATGAATCTGGAAACTTGAATTGCATATCTTATAAGCTATTTTGAATTTCATTGCTTCAAGTTTAGCTATAGTATGTTTATGTTACTTCACCAAATAATGGATTTTGCTTCTGCCTCCTAAATCATAAACCATACATTTGATTTAATTATGTTTTGATTGTATGAATATATTGCCGTAATTAGATTTTTAACATACTTTCATTTTCTTTTTTTGTGGGGTCGTATATATTTTACAAAAAAAAACTTAAAAACAACTTCATGTTAGAGTAAAAGTTTCATAGCAAACAAAAAAGACAAAAAATAAAAGAAAAATGTGCATGAACATAAAATCCCTGATCGTAATATTCCGAAAGATGGTCATGCAAATATTGATCGTAACATGCTTATTCGAACCGGAGCATAGCAAAAAGATTCAAAGAAAAACTGATCGAGCAACACGCGACGGGACGAGACTAGTTACAATGTAATAGAATTTGGGATAGAAATTCATGTCGGGTTAGGGTTGGCGGGTCGGGTTTGATCTAACCTGAATATTTTTTAGGCCAACCCGAATCCGACCTGTTTAATTATTGTCAACTCTAACCCGATATTTTAAAAATCAGGTCAACCCCGGTCGGATTAATCAACCCGAGAAAAAAAAGTTAAACAACCACAAATCTCAAAGCACAAACTAATGACAAACGTTTGACATATTTTCCAAAAGACTAACAATCCAAATAGGTAAATACATTGGATCAGTATCTTTTACAAGCCATCAAACAAATAAAAGTCTATTAAGAAAAAAAAATTTCAGGCCAATTTTTTAAATTAAAAAATTCATAGATTTCTGGCCAATTTCAAAATCTCTTCCACCTTCCTTCTTTAAGAAAACAAAAAAAAAACCACCTCCACCTTCATCTCTTCGTCGACGCCTCCACCTGATTTGGATTGCCGGTGGTCACCATTGACTTCGCCACCAAAACTTCATTATCCGACAGATAAGAATGGGGGTTTTGCTAATAAGGTCGAGGATAACGACGGGGACCATGGATTTAGATGGAAATCTTTAGGGATTCAAAATCGAAGAGGGAGAGAGGGGGTTTAGTTAGGAAGTGGGAGAAGTGATCATTCAGTTGAAGAAGAAGAATAAGAAGAAGAAGAAGAGAGAGAGAATGAGAGACACCATAGTCATTTCGGTCCGCCGCCGGGAGAAGAACGGGAGGAGAGCGTTTCTGGAGTAAAAAACTGAAAAATGATATATATTGTCTTAAGATTAGGGTAATTTTGATATACAATTTCCAAATTACCCTTACAAAATACACAAATTACATATATACGGGTAACCCGAGTAACCTGACAGGTTGACCCCGAACCCGACCCGTATAATAATTAGGCCAACCCTAACTGACCCGTTTATTATACGGATCCAAAATCTCAACCTGACCCATTTATTTCATATCCAGTTCGTGTCAAAATTCCGGGTCGTGTCAGGAATTGCCAGCCCTAAATAGGATTAAAAAAAAAAAGTTTCAACCAAAAATAGCTACTTATAGGAAATTATGTTCCAAATACTATTGGAATTCATAATATACCTTCACCTTTATCAAGATAAGATCTTTGTCTTACATATGTCAACGGCCTAAACCATACTTATGTACAAATCACAAAAAAGCTCAATCCGGATCTAGAATATTTGGCTATTAAATTGTTTAATCAATTTCCATATTAACTGATGGGTGTCGAATCCACCAAAATAAAATCAAATTAAAACTTGTAACAAGTAATAAGAAGGGTAGATCCTACGGAGGTGGGGAATATCATAGAAAGTTGGGTTCGAGTTCAAGAATGTAAGCTTCAGGCAAATTGCGACTTGCGCAAGTGACTTACTAACTTGACAGAGTGGATTAAACCTAGGGTCATCCTCCTCTCTAGTTTATACTTATATACTTTGATTTAGTTGTTCTTTTTGTGGTGTGAAACTGTGCTCAATCAGGCACAAATACACTGTAAGGTCACTTTCGATTGTTCCAGACAGAGCCTAGAAGCAACAAACCTACTAAACTCTGTTGTTGTTTTAGAATACTACTAAACCATTAAGATCCTAAGCCCTTATGATCACCTCGTGCCAAACAACTAACCTCATTGTTGTTTGAAACTTGAGCTGTTACCCCCTCCTCACCGGCTAATCTTAGACATTCTAAGTTAGGTTTAACCGTGAGGGATTCTCCTAACATGCGTGCACAATTAGTTAAGTGGCTAACCAAAATAGAAGGTTAATTAAAACTCTAAGACTAGGCACACAAATATCATTCGAGAGCTAAATCAAAACATACTTACATAAAGTAGCGGGATGAGACCCTACAAAAGAGTTTAGCTACACATGCATGAAATCTTAAACAGAAAAGCAATGAAGTAAAAATAAACTCCAACATGTTAACAATCAGAAAGGAGAGAAAATGAGGGAAGAACAGAGTCAGGAAATGTGGTTCAGTTCTGTTGACTTCTGAGAAGTCAGCTTCTCACTTCACCAAGCGGCACTCAAGATTCTACTTCCTGCTGATGCTCTATTTTTCTACCTAATCGATAAGTAAACTAACTCTAATTTCTTCCTTCTTCACTCGATGCCTTGATGTTGCTGATCTTCTTGCTTTTATAGAGGGTGGAGGAGGCTAGCTTGCTTAGCTGAGTTGATCTTCACTTTATCATGGTGGTCAAGATTGATTTCCTAGATTGAGGGGAGACCTATACTCACCCCCATCCTCTTTCTTGTCTTCTAATCAACTTTGGGAGTTGTTTATTTGATTAATCAACTTGTGGCTCTAACATACTCCCTTGAAGTCAGCAACATCACATCTTCTTCCTTCCTTTTTCCTTACTGTCCAAGGTTTGTTTGATTTTCTTCTTCCTACTGCTGCTGCTAGTACCGGATTGCCTTCACCGTCAACTTTGCACAATCAGTTCAATTGGCCATTTTCAATTCTGTCCCAGACTTCACTATTTTGCACCTTTTTACTCACTTTTTTTTAAATTTTGCAATTAAGTCCCTTGATCACCAAAAGTAACAAATTACATTAAAACTATATAATTCCTATTAAATTAAACTAAAACACAAATAGAAAGAGGTAAATAATGCATGCTAAAATATGTGTAAGTGACTCCCATCAACTCCCCCAAACTTGAAGAGTTGCTTGTCCTCAAGGAAACATAACATTTACCCCTTCTCACAGACTCAAATACATAAATGCAACAAAGAATTTTGTCAAAATTTTGACTCAGAATCAGGTCTTATCAAAGACAGAGTGTTATACACTATAGTTCAGTACCATTTGAGCAAGCCAGAAACTCTCTTCCTAAAGTGTGTGTGCAACAGATTACAAACCAAAGTGATGCTTGTCCATTCATAAGTTGAATTCAGTTAAGTTCAGATGGAGATTCTAATGATTGGTGCCTATTTTCATCTTGTCTGTAACTAAGGTATTCTTACTGAGGTTAAGATCTAATGGTTTCTGCTCATTTCTACAAGCATCATTGGCTACATCTTTCACCCTCGTACTTTTTCATCCAGGAGTCTTTTAGCTTTTTTCTACTTTATAGACTCTAGTTTCTTTCCCACCAAGGCCTATACCAAGTGCATTTTTCAGCAACTTTTGGCATTCTAAGCATACATTTTCTTTTAATCTCACAAGGCCTTAGGATTCTCCTCTCTTTGGTGTCATGCCTTACCTCTCAAGGGTTAACAATGCCTCATTGGACATTCTGCTTTTAATCACTCAATTAGCAAAACACTTAGCCTTAGATTCAACCGCCAACTTCGCCTTTGTCAAAGTCTAGAATAGTATCACCGGTTTAATAGAGCCTCAGGGGTCTGTCGAGTGTAGACACTCTGATACTTAAGTCAGAAATAGGGTTATGAGAAAATCTGTGTATTAGAATTGGTGCTAGAGATAGCGTACATCAATTGTGGTGTAATCAACACTATTTATAGGCATGGAGTTGCCTGGAGGGCATCCGAATCCTATTAGGTTCGTGCGGCATAAACCACCTTAACCGAGTCGGTTGGGCTTATAATTACGGGATGGGCCGAGTCCGATAATCCCAGATGGATATGGACTCATCAAGTGCCCCTACCAAGTGTTAGTTATATAAAATAAATAAGGCTTGGCATAAAAACAATTAATACCTGGACTCGGCCCAAGTCGTGTGGACAAGTTTTGGCCCAATATACATCGAGTGGATCTGCTAAGAGCAATCGCGGGTTAGAACTTGACCCGCGGAGGAGACCCGCTTCAAACTCCTGCCCAGGCCATCAAGTCGTGCATCTTTAGTGGGCACGTTGCCCAAACGGCAGCCAACACAATCATAACTATCTCGATTCGTACTGTAACGGCAGAGACGGGGGGGATTCAATTTTTTGCCTTATATACTAGGAGGACAAAGAAGCTTTAGGCCACTTTGCTTCTGCTCTCCTTTCTTTCTCTGAATTATCAGCCCTCCTTCTTTCACCAAAGTGCCCCAGCCGCTACTGCTTGAACGCTTGCAAGCTTTTTCCGCTATCTTGCCCCGGAGACATCCCCACCAGAAGACTTACAGCGATTGGACTAAGAGGAAACTTGGAGGCTACAATTCCAAGGGAGAGTGGAAACCGATTCCCACGGTAAGTACTCAGATTCGTTTCCTATAGATTGTTTCAATTAGTAATGATAGCATAGATCTAGATTTGTCCTTTCAATTGTGATAGGTATGGCTACTAGAAACCTAGATCTAAAAACTGTGCAAGATTTTGCTTCAACCATCAATTCCGACGATAGAGTCAAGGCAATCAGAACGAGATACGACCTTCCTGTAGAGTTAGACGTGAAAGCTCCCTTAGGTACCGAGAGAGCCAATTCTCCTCCAGAGGGGAGAATTACCATATATGACCGCTTCATGCATCTAGGGCTAAGGTTCCCCCTCTTCCCTCTGTTCGAGGAGATTGTCCAACATTACAAAACTCCTCTTGCTCGTTTTACACCAAACTTGATAACCTTCATTCTTGGGTTCGTAAAAATATGTCAACGAGTAAAGGTGAAGCCTTGAGCTGATTCTATGGAGGTATTCTTTCCAAGTCATCGTTCTCTCGACATTGTTCCAAGATTGGTATATTGTGAAGAAACGCCCAAGGGTGGGTATCAAGAAGATTGTCGAGGCATATGGTGGCTCGCCCGAATGGAAGCCTGAATTCATGTTTGTGAAAGCCTCCGAGAATTATTGTGTTGCATGGAACTATCGAGAAGCAGAAGGACTCGAGGCTGTAAAGGATGACTGGACGAAGAAGATGCTGAGAGCGTCGAAGAGCTTTACGACGATCTTAAGAAAATCCTGAAGTACCCAAAACTCATTAAATGAAGTGACGTGCAGCACTACATTCCCCCTGAACCTGTCGAGGAGGAAAAAGATACTAATGTCCTTGTTGAGGAAAAAAAAGGTACTAATCTTTGTGTATTTCTTTTGCTATTTTTAAGTCATGTCGTCGAGCAATGCTGGTTCTCGACTGTATGGTGACGAAGACCCTTTTCCTATTGTGAATTCAGATGAAGAAGAGTCAACCACTGTAGTTGCTGGTGCCAAAAAGAAAAGAAAGAGACTCATGAAGGTCTCCGAGAAGGAGAAGAAAAAGAAGGCGGATGCTGTCGCCTCGAAGTCAACAGCTCAAGGAGAGAATATCGTGCCTCCTACAATGGAGAAGACCAATGCTCCCCCTGGAACCAAGAAGGCCACACTCCCCAAGTGGAGGCAGAACCAAGCAATAAACCATCTGCCATGGACAAAAGGAAGGGCCCTCTCGAGGAGGAAGCAACGATCTTGGCTTCCCATGTATTCAAGGCAAGACCAACTATGGCAGTCCACACCTTTGGCGATCCTCCAACCATTGAATACCCCTTGCTTGAAGAGTTTGGTGCACAGCTAGCAACAACTGACAGCGTCTGGTAAGTACTTTATATCACTCGAGAATATTCTTGCAAATCTCCTGCAGACGAACTTTGCTTCATTCAATGAATTTTATAGATGAGTGTGGCCTCGATGGCATACTTGATGCACTTAAGGAAATTAAAGGAGGAGTTGGTCCAAGCTCGGATCTAGAGGGACCAGGCGCTTGTCTAGAAGGCCGCTCTCGAGGAGAGGAATCAGCAGATACAAGCAAAAGAGCAGGAGTTAGCCTCTGTTCAGGCTAAATATAATGAGTTGGACAAGAACCTGAGGGTCTTTGCAGATCTGCATATCTCGAGGGAGGACCTCCACAAATGGTGTGCTACCTTTTGGTTCAGGATGCTATCTTTAGGTGGCATGGCAGCAGCTATCCAGGAGGTTAATTTGGTGGCCACAGAGTATGGAGCTCACAAAGTAGCTGTTGCAGGCCTTAAGAGGCTTAACGGAGACAGGCCCATCAACCAAGTGGTTCAAACAATTCCTAAAAGAGAGCCCGAAGAAAACCATGTATGAGGCATTGGTAAAGGTTCTCACGAAGCTCAGTAGCGAGCAACTGCCTTTATAGGAGGCTTTATGCGAAGCCCTCGTTAAGATGGGTACTCCTGAAAATATGGCCATGTTTGCTTGTGATCCCGCCACTGTCTTGTCCAAGGGCCCAAGTGAGGAAGAGCCAATCCCTGAGGTGCCGGATGAGTATATCAGCATCGAGCTCGAGGAAGAAGATTATGAGGCCTCAAGGGAGGATGTGGCTGATACTGGCAACTGGGGAGTGCAGAAGAACGTCAGAGAGACATCTCAGAGTCATCCCTAAGGATGGTTCTGCTGGACAAGATGCTGTATGAACTCTTCCCTCTGTAGTAGCTGCTAGGAATTTGAACAATCACTTTTGTAAACAATTCAAGTTTTTATTTGGCTTTTACATGAATGCCATGTTCTCTTGTCTTCCAAGTCTAATTTTGGCCTTTTCATTTTTCCTGAAAATAGGATAGTTCGTTTGTTCATCAAATCCATCTCATGATTTTGTCGGAGGAACAATCGAGGGAATATCCTCTATACTCGATGATTAGCAATATTATTATAAGTCATGCAGGTGTCCATAGTATCGAGAGAGTAATGAACTTAGAAGCAGACCTCCTCGATGCTATGCGGGTGCGCAACGTGAAAGTCAACCAGCATCTAATCGAGGAAATAAAAGAACTCCGCGTGGAAATGCAACGGCAAGATTACTAGAAAGATAAAGACTTTAGTGATTCTCTGACTTTCGAGACAGACATACATGATGAACTGGTTGCTTTGGAAAAGAAAACGCCCGGCTGAAATAGGGCAAACAGATTACCATATCGCCATGGTTTCTCGAGAAGCATCAGGTCCTTGCTCGAGTGCAGCATATGATCTCCATATGAACGCGTCGGTTTATTTCGGCGATGGATATGCTGAAGGAAAGAACTCCCGAAGTCGAGCTCCTGATGGAATACATAAGCGAGCTCCAGGACTTACTGTTGGATCACAACGTCGACTTCCCATCTTTTGAGAAGCCCGAAGAGGTGGTAGATCCTAGAACCAGGAGCTCTCGAGAGGAACTCCTTTTAAGGGTTCATAAATTTACCTACTTAACACTAGTATAGCGGAAAATAGGGTCGTACCCACAGAGAAGAAATACTAATTACTAGGTATAAATTACTCCTATTATTTAAAACAAAACTAAAATAAATAAATAAAATAAAAGCAAATAATATTAATTCAATCAAATAATCAGACAAAGAAAACATAGGACATTGGGTTCACCTACCGAATATTTGGTTTAGTTCAATTCATAAATATCTGACTTTTAACTTCCATTAATCTCACAACAATTCACCTAATTAAGAACTACAGACTCTCGTGCTATAATTCTCTTACTTAGGTTAATTCTATGACTACTCTCGTGACTATAGGGATTAACAAAAGCACATTAAGATCATTAAGAATCAAATATTGCAAAGGTTATAATCTTACTCTCGTAGCTTACAACCTAAGTTTATTATTCCTATGAACTAATACTAATCTTCCACTCTCGCTACTTCGATTAGTATCTTCAGACAAGCAAATAGTGGCCAATTACATACACGAATTAAAAAAAGAATAACAAATATTAATTAATGGAAAAGTCAAATAATAATGAACCAAATTAACCAAATAAATCTGGTGGCTACACCCAAGCCCTACGTTATAGAACTTTAGCCTCTAAACATTATTAAAATTGATGATGCAATAATAATAATATTCATAATCCAAAATTCTGAAAATAAAATTAAAATTGGAATAATGGAATTGAAGGAGAAACGGAAGCTGAAAGTAGTTCCAGCTGTGAAAACAACTCCAAAGTCTCGCTCCGAAGTCGGTTGCCGTTGCTGGATGACGATGATGGCGTGAATTAGTGCTGGAAGTGGTGGCTAATGGAAGCAAGGTGGTGATGGAGTTGTGCGCAGGAAGAAGGTGCTGATGGGATGATGTGATGGGATTCGTGGATGATGATGCATAGTGATGAAGCTTCTACTGGTGCGTGAGGTGAGCAAGGAAGCAAGGTGGTGGTTATGGAAGGAAGGTGGTGGTGATGCTGCTGGTGAAGGAGGAGAAGCTGCTTGCTTCTGGTGGTCAAGGTGGAGGTCGGGGTGGGGAAGAAATTGCAGCGGAGGAGGGAGTTTTCAACCGTAGGGTTTCGGTGAGGTTTCGATCAAGTTCGGTTCTAAAAATAAATCTCTAATCCTCTTTTTATAGGCTTCCTTCAAAACCCTACTTCTTGGAGAGGAAGAAAACTTGTTTCCCAAATAATATTGGGAGTAAAATTCTTACCCAATTCCAATCACAAATCAACCGCACCATCATCGTTATTCAGCCAATTTCCAAAAACAAAAATTTCACAATTGCTTGTTTAATCCTCCAATTTTTCAAGTACTTCAATTTCTTCCTTGTTAATTTATCAAATCTTCAATTCTCCCCTTTAAGTTGCTTTTATCTTCATCTTAGCCCACAATTTCAACAATTCTCCTTTTGAGTACAATTCCTACAAATAAAGACAAAATCATATAAATAGCATATTTGTACTCAAAATATATTGCAAAAATCACAAATTATGGATATAATAAATAGGTAAACTATAAGCATATCAAATACCCCCAAACTTGAATTATTGCTTGTCCTCAAGCATTCCCAAAAATCAAAACAAACAAGAACATTAAATTATTTAATTAGGCGGCCTCAGAGATTTAATATCATATTACACAAAAACCTCGACTACCTCTAATATGCACTACCTAACAAAAATGCAAATCATATCTACTTTTAGCCCCTATGCTTGTGTGTGTGTGTGTGTGCGATCCGCTTCTTAGAGACATCACTTTATATTCAACATAGAAAAGAAAAGCTAAACTGCAAATATGCCATTTTACTTTAACAAAAGACTCACATTTCATACCATATTTCAATGCAATGGACCACCAGACATGCTATGAAGTAGAAGGACTTATCTCACAGACAACCTATTCCCCCTCGTAACCCATTCTTTGATCCATGCGACTTTTCTTCAGGACTCTTTCCAACTCAGGCCACTACCCAGAGCATTTTTCCACTCCTTTACATAGTGGCTCAGCAACTTAGGGCAGTCTATATATCTATTTTTCCTCACTGGGCCTGAGGACTCTCCGCTCAGGTTGCCAATTCCTCACGTCTCAATGGGCTAGCATCAACATTGAATGCTCTTCCTTTCTCCCTCATTAAACTTAACCTAACCTCAAAAGCATCTGCCAACACCCCCTCCCCCAAACTTACTTAACACAAAGTGTCAAAGCAATAAGGTTTTTTAAGGCTGATATTGGTTTAATGCCTCGCTTTTCCTTCACAACATGATGGATTCCACGTACAAATCATTTAAGTATGAGTGAATCAAACACAACTTTTCATGGCATATCTACATCAAACTTATGCAACTATATCTTACTTTAGGCTTATCCCACAGTCATGACTAAGTGCATATAAAGCAGGGTATTCAAAGCAACATATAGAAATACACAAGCTAAGCAGTACAATTCAAAATAGCCTAATTCTTACATGTTATAGATAATTAAACCATCTTCATCATAGGCTTTTTTGGATTTTTCAATTTTTTCAATTTTTATGGGTTTTTTTTAATGAAAATAAACACAAAACACACCAAACACAAAACACAAATATTCCTCTCCCCCGCACTTAAAGCATATATTGCCCTCAATGTATAAAACACAAAAGAAAAGAAAACCAAGTGAAAAGAAAAGAAAAGACATAAACAAAAAGAACGAAAAGAAACGACACAACCTTGGGAATGCAAAACAGAGCACCGGAATTGTTGAATAAACTGTTGCAACTGCTATCCAAGCACACCACCAGCTTCTTCAGACTTTTGGATGTTTCATTTTCAGCAGCACTGGACACCAGAGTTCCGCCCTTCCAACAAACCTAATTGCAAACTAAAATAAATTAGAAAAACAAACCTAAAAACAGATGATTGAGAAAAACCACGAAAATTCAGAAATCAAAGATCTCCAGATAATCAGGAACAAAAAACTTAACCATCAACTGATTAATGAAAGAAAAAAAGAAAAATAAAGCAAAATAAAGAATTGGGTTGCCTCTCAATAAGCGCTTCTTTAAAGTCATGAGCCGGACTATGTGGCTGATCAATCAAGTGAAGGTTCACCCAAAGAGTACAGAACTCCTTGAGGTACCCTCTCTCCATCAAAGTATAACATCAGTCGATGCCCATTAACCTTGAAAGAACCATGTGCCTCATCATAAATCTCAACAGCACCATATGGGAACACCTTAGTAACCGTAAATGGTCCAGACCACTTTGCGCGGAGCTTGCCAGGAAACAACTTTAGTCGCGAGTTAAAAAGTAAAACCTTCTCACCTACTTCAAACTCCTCTTCTGAATATACTTATCATGCCGAAATTTAGTTTTCTCTTTGTAAAGCTTTGAACTCTCATAAGCATCCAGTCTAAACTCTTCCAACTCACTGAGTTGCAATAATCTCTTTTCGCCAGCAGCCTTCAAATTCATATTCAACTCTTTCACAGCCCAATAAGCTCGATGCTCTAACTCCACTGGTAAATGACATGATTTCCCTAACACTAATCGATATGGAGACATACCCAATGGTGTCTTGAATGCTGTCCTATAAGCCCAGAGAGCATCATCCAATTTCATGGACCAATCTTTCCTTGAACGCCCCACTGTCTTCTCAAGAATTTTCTTCAATTCTCGATTCGCCAACTCTGCTTGCCCATTGGTTTGAGGATGGTAGGCAAGAGCAACCTTATGAGTAACACCATATTTCTTCAACAGCGCATCCAAATTCTGATTACAAAAGTGGGTACCTCCATCACTAATGATAGCTCGTGGAACACCAAATCTTGTAAAAATATTCTTTTTGAGAAATTTAATCACCACACGAGAATCATTAGTTTGAGTTGCTATGGCCTCGACCCATTTGACACATAATCCACCGCAACCAGAATATACTGATTGCTGAAAGACGATAGAAACGGCCCCATGAAATCTATACCCCAGACATCAAAAAGCTCGACCTCCAGAATACCATTCAAAGGCATCTCATTACACTTGGAAATATTACCCATTCTTTGACATCTGTCACATTTCTCCACAAACTTTCTGGCATCTTTATACATACTTGGCCAATAGAATCTTGACTGCCAAACCTTAGCTAAAGTTTTAGATGAACTGAAATGGCCTCCACACTCTAAAGTATGGCAATGTGTAAGTATATCTTCAAACTC